TGACAGAGGAGAAAATAAATAAGTTGGACTGCATCAAATATTTAAAACTGCCATGTCTCAAAGGATGCTATTAAAAAAGTAAAAAAGAAAATTCACAGAATGGGAAAATATTTGCAAATCATTATATGGTAAGAGGCTTGTATCCATAAGGTGTAAAAAATGTTTATTATTCAAGAAGGTAAATAATTAAACCAAGCATGGGCAAAGGATTTGAATGGACATTTCCCCCACAACAATAGAAAAGTATCCAATAAACACATGAAAAAATGCTCAACATGATTTTCCTTTATAGAAATGCAAAGAAAACACAATGATCTACTGCCTTACCCTCACTGCAATGGCTATAATTCAGAGAGAAAGTTGGTAACAAATGTTCGTGAGGATGCAGTATGAGGCTTCATACTATACTGGAGGGAATGGACAACGCAGCAGTCATTTTGGAAAATAGTCTGTGGTTCCTCAAAAGTTAACATAGAGTTACTATGTGACCCAAATTTTCTGAAAACATACATCTGCAAAATCATGTATGCAAATGTTCAGAGCAACAAAATTGGTAGGATCTAAAAGGTAAGAAAAAAATTAAATAACCATCAACAGATGAGTGTATATAATATGTGTGTGAGTCTATACATATATATATATAGAGAGAGAGAGAGAGAAAGAGAGAAAGAGAGAAAGAGAGAGAGAGAACAGCATAGCCCTACAAAAGGAATATTATTTGTGGGCCCGGCACGGTAGCCTAGTGGCTAAAGTCCTTACCTTGCATGTGCCATATGGCCACCGGTTCTAACCACAGTGGCCCTGCTTCCCATCCAGTTCCCTGCTTGTGGCCTGGGAAAGCAGTCGAGGGTGACCCAAAGCATTAGGATCCTGCACCCACGTGGGAGACCCGAAAGTGGCCCCTGGCTTCTGGCTTCGGATTGGCTCAGCTCTGGCTGTTGCGGCCACTTGGGGAGTGAACCATTGGATGGAAGATCTTCTTCTCTGTCTCTCCTGCTCTTTGTACATCTGACTTTCCAATAAAAAGAAATAAATCTTTCTAAAAATGGAATATTTGTAAAGAAAGGAAATAAAGTACTAATTTGTGTTATAGTCTTAGAAGCATTGTGCTAAGTGAGAGGAACCATCCAAAAAGAGCATGTTCTGCAATTCCATTATGTGATATTTGAAATAGGCAGGTCTGTAGACAAAAGGCTTGGTGGTAGCCTGGAGTTTTGGTAGGAGTAAGAGGGGAGCAACTGCTAATGTACTAATGGGTATTGAGTTTCTTTCTGAGGTGAGAAAGATGTTCTAAAATTGACTGTGTGAAAGTCAGCCATCTCTGGGACTATACTTGAATTCATGGAATTGTACCTTTTAAATAGATGAATTTATGCTGTGTGAGTTCAATCTCCATAAAGCTGCTATACAGATTAAAAGTTTAATGTGTTCCATGTGTTTAAAATTGAATCACTTTACCTCTTCCTTCTTCTCTTCCTTTTTATTTTCCTGAAGTTTAGTTTATGAACCTGGGATAGAATATGTTTTATCCATGAAATTGCCAGTTATGCAATGATTTTTAAAAAGCAAGATAAGGCCTGGCACTGTGGCAATGCATGTTAAGCTGCTGTCTACAATACCAGCATTCCAAATGGCCATTGGTTCAAGTCCCAGCATCCCATATGACTGCTGGTTCATCTTGGCTGCTCCTCTTTCAACCCAGCTCCCTGCTAATGCACCTGGGAAATCAGCAGCGGGTGCTACAAGTGCCCACTGACCTCAAGTGGGAAAGCTGGAAGAAGCTTCTGGCTCCTGGTTTCAGCTGGTCTATTCTGACTATTTGAAGGGTAAAGCTGGAAGACCTCTCTCTGTCTCTCCCTTTCCTTCTCTGGACTGTTTTTTAATGTGTGTGTGTGTATGTGTGTGTGTGTGTAGATAGATAGATAGGTAGATAGATAGATATAGATATAGATCATTTTTATTGGAAATGTAGATTTACATGTAGAGGAGGAGAGACAGAGGGACAGATCTCCCATTCACTGGTTCACTCCCCAAGTGCAGCTGGGTAACAAACCAGCACCCATATGGGATCAGGGAATGTGCACGGTGAGGATTTAGCCACTGAGCCATAGTGTCAGGCCGAGAACTCTCTTTCAAATAAGTAAAAACATTTTTTTTAACAGAGGAAAATGAAAAGCTTGTTTAATTTGAGGAATTACTAAGAGAATTCTGAAGTTTAAGCAAGATTCCTTAATGTCATTTATTCTTTGTTTTTCTTTGCACACATGTTTATTGGACATATATTAGTCCTTTGAGACACCAGGTGCTATTTTATGATGTCAAAACAGTATGCAACTTTATTTTCCACAGCACATCCCTGAGACCAATCCCAAGTGCTTCATAGCCGATCTGTCAAGGCAAAATCCTGACCCCTTGTTCTAGCAAGTACTTGACTTACAGTAGTTGACTTCAATCTAGCACAAATTGCTTAGAAAGATAAAACACCGACAATCATATTTGGAAATCTCTTGATATTTACAGGGATGCAAAATGCTTGCAGAGAGAAGCCGCAGAAATAGCTGTGAGTCTTGAACAATATCCCAGTTTCTCTAACAGCCCCATTGGGACTCCGAGAGCTCCCAGGAGTGGGAGGCGCAGAAGGCTAGAAGCTTGACCCATTTAGGGCAGGTGGCCAACATCAGTCTAATGGCTCCCAGAGAAACTGACTGATATGAAGGTGATCCGGCTCCACCAGACTCAAACTAGACCTGCTGCCTGAGCGCGCACCCAAACCTTAGCACAGTATAATTCACTGAGGCTGTCTGTCTGAGGCCCCACTGCAGATCCTCAGCACCTGTGATAAGCACTGCTTATAATCCCAGGAGGCTTACAAACTGCTGTCTGTTTCTGGATTCAGATCTGATAGGGGCTTCTAGGTTTGCTTCACATGTAAGGAGAGCTGGGATGCTATGCTTCAGGACTCCCCTAGGCTAGAAAGAATTCTCTGGGCTTGTTCTTGTCCACATGGAGGTCTTAAGAATGTAGTTGCCCTGGGTTTTCTTTTATATTAGGCAGCCATTTGTCTCACCAACTCCAGTGTCTTCCTCCTGGAATTAATGGTGGAGTCATAAAATAGTCCAGGAGACAAGGGAGCTGTCCATATTCCCAGTAGATTTTACTCTTGAGGAATACAACAAATTTAGAGAAAGTGGATTTGTTTTTCTGGAGAAAACAAGGTGACTTTAAAATAAAAATAAAAAAGAAATAGATCTTAATCGAATAATGAAAGTATTACAATGTATGCATGAATTTAGGCAAAAGTTTTATTTTTCCACCCAGTGTCTGAATTTTTTTTGTTATTTACCAGTATTCATGATTCCTTTTGTCTCCTAATTCCCTTTATTGTTATTTTTTTTTACAGTGGAATAATTACACTTTGACAAACATCTGAAATTTTCTTATGTAACTGGAAGGATTGCAGCACTAGTGAAGGAGAACAGGACAGGAACTATAGGTGCAAGACACCACTTGTTTACAAGTCTTGATTTTGATGATTCACTTTTACATGGAGCGCTGGGATGTCTCTCTGAGTTGCTTCCTTGACCAGGAAGGGAAGCAAGCTCAGGGAATTTGCGAGAATGCCATCCTTCATAGGCAAAGAGCACAGAACAATGACGCCTACTTCCACAACTCCTGCCGGTGTTTGGAAAGTACTAATTTGCTTCCAGCCAGATAACAAAGGCTGATTTGCCTCCTTGCCAATTGATGTCATGATTTGCTGCAGCTTTTAAAATGTGTTACATAAGGTCTCAGAACTCTTTTGTGAAGACAAATTCAAGGGCTTAAAGCAGTGAATTTTTGACACTCAGATTCACGGTGCAGAGCTGGCTCTCCCAGCCTTCCTGAACTGGGACAAGCCTTAATGTCCACTCTTCAAGATGACACCATGTAAAGGCGACGACATCCTCAGGAGACCCAGTGTGTTGTTGCTTCCTACCTTCAAAGTCCCAATTACAGATCTGCTTCATTTAGTGCAAAGTCATTTTTTCCCCTAGTGCAAACTCGTTTTGAATGTAATGCTAGGATATATTCACAGATACTCCTCAGCCTGCAGTGGGGCACATGCTGACAGGTGTGCAGTGGAAGATGCACCGACTCCACCGACCCTACCAAATGTCTTAGTGGAACATCCTAGAGTGTGGGCTGTCTGCACCTTCCACCACTTTCTTGGGAATTCTGCTTCTTTCAAGGATACTCTTTGCAGCCACTGCTGCAGGATCAGCTTAGCAGTGAACTGAAATTTGGGCTGGTGCATGTATATTCCCACGAATAAGACACCCCTCTTCTTGCCGGTAATGGCATGCCAGGTATTGCCAACATCTACATTCTGCGGCAGGAGCCTAGACTGGCAGTAGTTGGAGGAAGCTTTCCCCAGGAAAACAGACTGGCAGGCAAGCCATCAGTCTACCCACAAAGCTCATACCACCCTGTACTACCAAGCCAATAGCCGGTGTTAGCTGTTCTGCTCCTCAAATGAGGAAGAAAGTTTTGGCATAGTCACACTTTGGAAGGGGATACCACTCGCCAGCTCTGTGAGTTCTGCCCTGAGTGAATATATATGATTGATCTCTGCTAAGATACGTAAGGAATGTTCTGTGTGAGACTTGGTAACGAGTTGTATAAGGGTTTTTTGGGGATGGAAGGAACAGTACAGGATTCCAGCCACAGTTATCAAGGATGGCTCCTGGGTGTGTAGTTTGTGCAAGGCAGGTCAGAAAAAGCCACAGGATGACCATGTGAGAGACAGTCAAAGTTTGGTTGCTATGGAAACAGGTCACTGTTCTGATGGCTCATTCTGAGAAACCATATGAAAAGAAAGGCAAAAACTGTGTACAAGTGTTCTTTAAAAGGTTTGTGGGGAAATGGAGGTAAAAGAGCAGTTTATTTGGTGGAAACCATTTTGAAATCCACGCATAGTTTTTTGTTTTGTTTTGTTTTTTTGTAACACATTTTTTCATCAACCTTTGGAAGATCCCATACAAATGAAAAAACAAGACTTTTCCTACCTTCAGGGGAAAAATATTGAGTTTTTCTTTTATAAGAAGTAGGGACTTCTGTCGATGGAATCATCCTAGAATCCAATATGTGCAGTATATGTGGCCTTGATTGTGTTAATGAAGCAATCATTCTCACATAACACGAACATCATTTCGTAAAGCAAGTGTTGGAGACTTGCTGACAGCGTGTTGGACCAGCACTGCAAACAGTTACACCAACAGTAAGAGGAGAAGCAAGGCCAGCAGCACACAGCCTCTCTGCTGGGCTGCCGGGGCTGCGCTGGCCTGGCCCTTCAGCATGCACATCACCCGGGACCAGGACCCGTTATTGGGCAGTGGGGTGATGCCTGCCACATGGCACATGACATTGTAGACATCCACTGATCTGATTGGAGCAGCTCTGAAGTCGGATTTGAAATCTGAAAGAGAAAAACACATGCATAGGGTATCAATTCACAGGGAGGAGAGGGGGTTGAATTACACTGTAGAAGAATTATGCTCAAGAAGCTTTGGATCAGAAAAGCTCCCCCAAAAGGGTGAAGTCAAGTGATGGAAAAGTTTGTGGAAGCATGTTTGGAAGGTACAGGTTATAAAAGAAGGTGGCTTTCAGTGGCTCCGTGTGCTTTTGTTCTTCCAAGAGTTCTCATGAAAACAGGTGGTTTGAAGGCTGTCAAGCCAAGTTTTCTTAGAACATAATCTTTACCATTGCTTGGCTAGAATGTGAGTACTTACTCTATAAAACAAATAACCAACATATATTCCACAACTGTCAGGATTGAATTCTACTCCCCGAATTACAGACATGGAAAAAAAAAGTTATGAGAGAATTCAAAAAGTTCACTGAAAATAAAATTTTAAAACTTGTTTATTTTGGTGTGAAATTTTGGAAGCCAGGGATAACATTTTCATAATATGCACTTCCCATGAACTTTTTGAAGACCCTGCATAAGCACGGTTTTCATGTATTTTTATTCCAAATGAAACTTACCTTAAATTTTTAAAGAATGTATTTATTCCAGAGGCAGAGTGACAGATAGAGGAAGAGATAGGTGAAAAGATGCCCCACCTGCAAGTTCACTCCCTAAACACCTGCAATGGCCAGAGGGTGCTAAAACTTAGATCTGGGAACCCAGTCCCCGTCTCCAAGTGGGCTGCAGTAACTCACATTCTCAAGCCATCACTGCTGTCTCCTGGCATTCACATTAGCAGGAGGCTGGAGTTGGGAGTCAGGACCAGGTAGCCAGCCACAGCACTCCACCCCGGACTCGGGTGTTCTAGCCAGTGCCTTTTCGCCTAGCCCAAACTCTTACCCATAAACTTACTCTTAGATTATATTTCCCATCACCTTTTTAAAGTACTCCAGTATATTCATAAAACTGCCACACAGTATGTTTAGGTGCTGGGCAATGTCCTAGTTATTGGCTTTGCTCACTTTAGATAACTGAAGTTGAATTCAGAAGAAAAAGACTCACGGAGTCCCTCACCAACCTGTAGCTACTTACTAGCCTGGCATGCAAAATGGTTCAATCAGTAATGGCTATGATTTTAACAAACGTGAAGAACACATGCTCACCAAAGACAAATTATAGCTTGGAAAGTTTTTGCCTTATGAGTTATTTGAAGGGTTCACCTTTTTTTTTAGAGTAGGAAATATAATGACCCGTACCGATTCAGGATTAAAAAAGAATCACCAAAATGTATAACATGCCTGCAGAGTATGTATAATTTGCCCCATGTTCCCAGTTCTTCTCTATATGAAGGCAAGTGATACAATTAGATGAAAGGGTTTCCCTTCCCACGGGCATGAGAAATCCATAGAGAGGTGGTCCCAGTGGGACGGAAGCAACTCCTCCTTATATTTAGATTTCCCCCATGTGGCCCGGGTGTGACATTCTTCCTGCCTACCAGATGTAGCCACAGCTTCATCACCTGTGTAGGTGTGAGGGCATGTGAGATGGCATATGGTAGAAAAACTCAGATGTTTTTCTCTAACCTTCAAAAACCCACTTCTTTAACCCTTTTTAGGAAAAACTAACCTCAAATTCTTCAGACACAAGTCTTAACAAAGGTCGACATCATAAAAGCCAAAATACATGCATGGAAGCAGGAAAAAGAATTTGATCTTTTTTTCTCTCCCATCCTATCAAGTTCATGCTTTGCTGTGCAGCAGAGATGGGAGTAGAAATGTTTCTAGGCTGGAATGGAAGCTTCTAGAAAGTTCCTGAACAGCAAAATAGTGCCTGACCTAAGCTGAGAAGTACCAGACAAGTTCCAGCAACTCAAGATGGCTTTCCAAACCTGAATGAAAAGGCCAACTTACTCCGTTGGGCTTAAGGTATTTTTAAAAAGATATATTAAAAATATCTCCTAAAGAGAGAAGACTCAGATGTCCGTTGTGCCTGGCCACCCTGAGCTGCTTTCTGAGTGGGCTTGCTGGCTCCCAGACAGCTGAATCACACTCCTACTGTCTTATCTTGAATGTGGAGTTCTCCAGGGCAAGATTAGGTTGTTCAAATTAGAAGCTGGGATTACTCAGAGAGAGGCTATCTCTAGAATTACTTTGCTCTCTCGGCACTGGACTGGACGTCCTGGCTTCCATGGTTGCATCTGGGCAGCCACAGAGCTGCCCAGTCTTCTGTTCAGCAAGCAGCATATGCAATTAATCAGGAGGATGCACCTTTATCTCCTTGTGCAGCTAGATAGCTATTAAAGGCCTTGCTCTTAAATTTTCTTCCGAGTAAACAGTCAGTGCATAAAGCTATTTAATCTTTCATGAGAATTGGAGCCAGAAACGTGATGGTTTGAGGAAGGCTCTCAAGGCAGTATCTGCCTGGAAACATTTTGCAATTAGACCAGCCCACTTTCATCAGGGATTGCCTTTCTGTCTGTGAAAGATGGAAAGCTTTTCGTTTTCAAGAGGTATAGGGTGGCATAGGATGCAGGCTGGGGTTTGGGGATAAATTCTCCCCTACTGAGTGTAAGCCAATGGAGCTTTGGGTACTTTGTTGGAATGGTTGATGTGGGGCTAGGTGCTCTTGCTCATCTGTGCTCCCTTAATAGACAATGGCTTTGCATTCAAACTTTTGTTCTCTTCTGAAAAGGAGGCGGCCATGGTTTTGAGTGAAAGCCCTGCTGAATCATGCTCTCCCATAGAAAGGCCATAGCCTTCTAAGATCGCCAACCTGATCTAGCAGTTGATATCAACCTAGTCCTCAAGATCCAATTCCTAAACCATCTGACTTATAAACTCTGCATATTTCAGCTGGGTCCTGGCTGACAGGAGCGCCTGACAGTTCATATTGGCTAATAGCTGTATGCTCAAGCATCCTGTGAACTTTTGCTTAGGCCACTGTCAAGAACTCAGTACTCTACAAATAGGTACTGTTTGTGGGTTCTGATAGTCACTCTGGGACTTGGGATCCTGGGCCACATGGAGGAAAGGATTGGGTCAATGTGTTCCCTAAGCATTGGCTCCCAGTGGCACCAGGCAAGTGGCAGACACCAACACTTCATTGTTGTTAATAGCGACCCTATGGTAGGTGGAGTAAAACAGAGCCAACCCAAGAAGATGAGCTGATACATACCTTTGTTCTTGCTAGCTCAAAGAACAGAGACGAACTTGTAGACCTGGCGTTTCACCTCTATTTTGGAAGGAAAGCATGGGCTTTCATGGGCTAGACCAGTTTGACCAAATACAGGAAAGGGCATTTACCATATAGATATCAGGGTAAGTTTATTATATTTGATTAAGGGAGAGGGGGTGGAACAGCAGTAGGAAGAGTAGCTCATGAACAAGTTGACTGGTGCTTAATGGTTGTTGAATGCATTTTCTTCCCCTGGGCAATCTTTTTTCAAAGAAGGTGGTGTTGAGGTAGGTGATAGTATGGTCTTTTGAGGGTTTGTTAAACTTTTTGCAAGGTGTGAATTTATAGTGCTCCTTCAGTTAGATCAAATGACAAAACTGGCCCTTCCCGTCTCCTTTCTGTGCAAGCAGAAGGGATTAATCTGATCAAGAAAGGCAGAGCCAATTTACTTCCCATAGAGACACACTGAGTCTTCTGGCTCATGCTCAAAGTTAGGCTTGAAGTCCCTTCCAAGGCTGCCTTTGAGTTTGTCACAGCTTCTGGTTGGGCCCTAAACCCAATGAACCCCCATAGGGTGGCCCAGACTGCAAGAGACTCTAGGAGAATCAGCCCTTCGAAGCCATCACATCCACTCGAAGACTCACAGCTGTCAGCAGCCAGGACCCAAACAGCTTTCCTGGACATCAGCTAGCTGTGAAATAACATTTTGATGAATTAAGTAAAAAATGAATCACACACATGTGGAATACATTTTCTTCATTGCACTCAGGATTTAAAATTTACAAGGAAAAGTATTTGGCCACATTTGCCAAACCCAAGAAGCATTTGAAAGGCAGCCAGCCAAAGAGGTTTCATGGAGACCGGCTGGGTTTGCTCAGTCAGCTCTGCTCATAAAGAGGCTCCATAAAGAAGTCACTGCAGCCTTTCCTGGCACCATTAGCCCCTGTTCGAGAGACTTCCCCGGGAGGAGCTGATGGAGCGCCTCAGACCCATGCCTTGCCTACCTGGGCCAAAGGCCAGGAAGATGCCTCTCATGTCCATGAGCTCATTGTCGTACCCGTGCCAGCCACGCTGCCAGCCTTCCCTCTTACCCGTGCTGTTCATCCAAAATGGAAGCAACTCTCGTTTCTGAAATCAAGCAAAAAGATAATGTCACCCTGGGTCTCAACAACTGTGGCAAGTGGCCATCTAGTCCACATGGCCACCTGGGGTGGACAGCTTTCTCCCAGAGTTTCTGACTGGAGTCATCCACTCTGTACTGTGCCACTTCTACTCTAAATGATTGTGACTCCTGGCGACAACCCATTGAATTGCTGAGGAGCTCTAGTTACATTATTTCTTTGGAAGACCCATTTCTTTATTTGGAGACGAGAAGGAGAGTGAGAAAAATCTCATATCCATTGGTTGATCCCCACAAAGGTTTCAAAGGCTGCAGGAGCGAGATGCCTGGAGCTCCATCCAGGTCTACAACATAGGTGGCAAGAGCCATCCTCCACTGCTTTCTTAGACACATTAGCAGGGAGCTAGATCGAAAACAGAGCAATCAGGATGTGAGCCAGTGTTCCTATGAGGGATACCAGCATAGCAGGCTTCAGCTTAACTCGCTACCCAACACCAGCCACAGGAGTGGTTTTCTGATACTGAACTGAAGTATAGCATGTTAGAAACACAAGGAAAATTAAAGTGTACCTGTGTTTATATACCTGCATATATATATCACATATCTTTGTCACAGTTCTTGGTACAGAGCTCCTGAAAACCCTTGAACTTTCCTGAGTGACAGGAATAATCTTTTGTTATTCATAATAAGCCCCTTTCAACTAGACCTGAGTGTATGCTGAGATGGTAACTGATTAGAGGCTAGAAGACTTCCGCACTGCACTGGAGCTGGTAGCCAGGATAACCAACTGCGTGGCTCCAAGGGCTGGAACTTTCAACTTCAGTCCCCAATGCCTACAAAGAACAGGGACTAGAGATGGAGTTCAAACCTGTGATGGTGATTTAATCACTCGTGCCTATGCAATGAATGCTATATCAAAACCCTACAATGGTAGAATACAGGCAGTCTCCAGGGAGCAGACGTTGGACACTTCTTACCTTCCCTATTTTGTCACACATATTCTTTCCATTGGGCTGCTTCTCAGTGGTATTCTGGGTAATAAAAGCCATAGACACAGTGAGTTCTGTGATTTGTCCTTGTAAGTCATAAAACCAGCGGAGATTGTGGGGAGGGTGGTATGAGAATCCTCACATTTGTAGTCCAATCAGACACAAGAGCTGGTAGCCTGGGCACCTGCACCACACCTGCTGTCCATTTGGGGGCAGTCTTGGGGTACTGAGCTTCCTAAACTGTGCGCCTTTAACTCTGGGTGTTCATGTCTAAAGCATGGGGAATGGGAGAACACGCAGCTAATGTTGGGGAAAACTGCCATCTTCTTTCACTAGTAACTGAAACCCAGTGGGGGCCCAGTCCACTCCCAGCCTTTCTGTCTCAAAAGCAACTTGGTCACTGGAAATCAGGACCTGAAGATGGCACGCATGTTTCCTTCATCCAGGTCTTGCTTCTATTTCCCTCAACTACTTAGCATGACTTCCAGAACCATCACCTTCTGTTGCCTTGCCTCCTTTCAAAATGAAATGTTCCTATGCTACAAGACACTTGCATTTTACAAGGCCAGGGACTTCCAGAAGGTTTTGTGACTCCTGGGGACTCTGCAGCCAGTAAAGCAGACAGCCCTGGTCAAGCAACACAGACCAGGCATTCGTTTCTGACACTCCAATTCCCTCTTCAAACACTGCAGATGAAAATGAGTGACTGTGATGAATGTGTAGATTCAAAAGAGCTAAACTACCAACAATTTACAGGTTGTATGACAAGTAGTATTGCCATGGGATGCCTGAGCCAATACAATTAATCAGAAATGACCACAACAGTTGCTTTAATTGTGACAACATTCCAGTGTGGGTGGCATTTGTAGTCACAGGAAGGGCACAGAGTGGTGAAATGACTTTTAGAGTCACACAGCTGGAAAGAAGGAAGGCTGGGTTTTTATGGAACCCAGGAAGTGCACCTGTGGATTCTTGGGCACTCACACAACCCCACAATCACAGGGGTGTTCCTGCTGGAACTAGATAGTGAGATTTCTCCTGCCCCATGTCTCTATCCACCAATTGTAGTCAGGTTCATTGTGTAAGGAATCTTGCAGAAGTCCACAAAAATGCATGCTATGGAAGCAACATGCATGATTTAAAAAACTTTTTTCACCAAAATAAAGTTGCCTTCTAATTCCCTCTTTGCATAAACCTTTCAGAGTACCCTCAAATAAAGATGAGATGTCAGAATTGGAGAAGCATGAGGTTAAAACCCAATTCTGGCTCCGGGATACTGGCAACTGATCCTCTCCGTGTTCAGGTTTCCTTGCTGGCTCTGGGGAGGATAGCATGATGCTCACAGGGACCCTGGAGGATGGCATGACCAGGTGCTCTGTACCTGACACACAATAGGTGCTCAGTGAAAACGGCTGTGGTCTGGTCACCAGATGCCACTGCCGTGGGGCGAGGCACCCTGGTGTGAGGCTGAACTCCACTTTGCTTATTTAGCTGTCATATCACATTGCACACCCATCCGGTCTCACCCCATAAATTGCTCTCAAGCATTGCTGCTTTCCAAATCGCACTATTTCATTGACTCCCCATTTCCTGCATTTCCAGCACCCTGGCCTTCCGTTCCAGCTGCAGCTTGTCCTTTCCATGGGAAACTTCTTGCATGTCTTCTTCTTACCCTGTTTTTTGTTCTCTAGCTCTGCATGGCGACGAGTGCAACACGCCCCGGTTTAGCTTCGTCAGCTCTTTTTCACGTGCTGCTCTGCCTCTCACTGCCTACGAGGTGGGGAGTCCTAAAGCACGGCGTGGAACGTTTTTGCCGTTAATGACTTAACTCATGAGGAGCTACATGGACGGCGTGCATCCTGTGACAACGAGTCAGAGAGAGTGAGGATGAATTGCCTGATTTTAAAAGGTACAGTCTAAAAAATTAGAGTTGTTTATTCCATAAATAGGCACACACAATGAAAATCTTAGCCTGGAAGGCAATATAGAATCTGTCTGATCATCAGAAAATCCACTAGTTATTGTTAAAATGACAAGTTTCCCCAGCCAAATAACTCTTCTTATTGATTAACACACACACAGACACACACACACTCAAAACTGGCTGGCAATGTGAGACAGTTATTTTGTTCAATTGACTGAGTGGATTATGCTACACGCACAGTGTTAATTTCACAATGGTGCAGTGATTGTCTTCCTCTGCTTCTCCCGGCGACTTCTGGCGTCTTCGTGAGCTGCTCCATGCTACCCTTCCAAGGGCACACACAAGAGGCCTTAACCTTGACTGTGTCACCCACCACTCAAGCTACCTGTAGGTGAGCTGACCCTGTCCCAGACTGGTGGGCTGCTACATAGTGCCACCTAGTGACATCCCGAGGGAGGTGCTTGGGTCTTCTACACATGACCAAACAAGAAGCCAGCTTAGAGGGTGGTTTTGTGTGTGTATGGGGAGTGGGCAACCATAATAAGGCCTCTATAGGACATCCCTGAGCAATGCCAGGCCCATGACCCAGGAGCCCTGGCATTGCTCAGAGCAGTCCCAGGCTCACAGAGTGGACATGAGGTGTGTGGGAGAGCATTGCCCCCAGACTGGTTGGATCAATCCTACCGGCCTTCCCCTAGCTCATGGCCAGTACCAAACTCTCTGCTGGGCTCTGGGGTGGGGGCTGAGGTTGCAGCTTCTGGGTGTTGACTCTGGCCCTGGGGGCATGTGGCTGCAAGAGAGCAGAAAGAACCTGTTGGGGTGGGGTTGGGGGATGAGCCTGTGGGGACAGGACTGTGTGAGTGCCCCTGTGCATGAACATACATGTGCATGTGTGTGTGTGTTCATGTATGTGTGGTAGGAAAGGAAAGGTACTCCACAGAGGAGGTGAGGTGGGATATGAAGTCTAGGTCAGGGGCAGGCCTGACACTTAGAGGAACCTGGGAGGTCAGGTACTCTTGATATTACCCAAGATGAGAAAGGAAGCTCTTGATAAGGCTGCATCAGCAGGAGATCCTAGGGGCTTTTTATTCTCAGTGACCGGCTGGGGTGTGGCTCATCTGGTGGGCTGTGCAGCAGTCCTGGTGGGGGGCTGGGAGGCTTGATGGGGTGCACTATTGAATTTCAAAGCTAAGACAACCTCAGGTAAGCTGGGACTACTTGGACACTCTAAAACCACCATGAACCGAACTTACCACTTCACCCAGTGTGATCCGCTCAGCACTTCCCATTGCCTTCCAGAATGAATTACCCAATCTGCCGGTTCATTCAACAGGCCCAGAAATCAGCAGTACCATGCCAGGAACCACTTGAGAGCTGGTTGTTTGATGTGTAGACACAGGTACCTGTGTTTGGGGGGTCTGCGTGCTAGTCCCAGCAGCTCACCATGATAGCACTTAGCAGAAGTTTGCTTTCCTTTGAAAAGCCAGAGAGCATCTAGACTAAGTCCTGGTCCCTACCTCTATGGCACTAACAAATAGGAAACGTAGCTTTCATTCCTTCCCCTCAAATGGGAAGCCCACCTGAGCCCTTGCTGGGATCCAGCTCTTTGAATTTGCTATTTCAGGACTCCTTTGTGAGGCACAGGAAGTGCGATGTGGGGGTCAGTGGGGAATGAGAGTAGAGGCTGAAGGATCGATCAGACAACTGGAAAAAGTAGGAAGCAACCCAAATAGTCTATGATATTTATTTCCTGTCTTTGCACATGCACAGGCATCTGCTTTGGCCAACTCTCCATATGTCCCCTTGTTTTGTGTGGTTGCATTCTGGGAGTTCATTAACACGTGAGTTCATTTCTCACTCCCTCCTATGGTTTCTCTTAAGCCTCCAAGGAGGAGGAGGGCCAGCAGCTGCTGGGATGACATCTAACCCACAGCTCTTGTCACGAGTCCCCAAACAACTTTTGAAAGGGAAGCTGAGGCTGCTGGAAACCATCCCTACTGGATTTGCCCCTGGTCCATTGGAGCTGCTTCGTATTGTTCTCCTGGGTGATTTTCCTCTGCTTTTCCTCCCAGAAAGGCTGCAGAAGTAGCACCCC